AGCAAAACAGTGTGTGGGTTCAGTAACGGGTGTAAGAGATTACTTGCTACATGGCAGGGCTGTGGGGATGACCAACCACAGCCATAACCTGCATCTACTGGAACACTTTCTGGGCACATCTACATGCGCAATTAATATGCACTTCTGCATGTATGCCTAGACTACAGCACACTGAGCTGTGACACAGCAGCCCCAGATGACAGCCAGCCCAGAGGGTCAGCTTGCCATCCTAGAGCTGCTCCAACTGGGTTCAATGTGCTGCAGAGGGGCTTGCTGGGGCATGAGGGTGCTTCAGTGTGAGACTAGCCAGCAGGCAGCCCCTGCACTGAAGCACCCTCATGCACCAGCCAGCTTGATTAGTGACTACATGCGCATTGGTGTAGAGTAAAAAACTCCACCTCAGGATAATATTTGTATTTACAAGTACTAACTTGCAGCAGAGTTAATTAGTTTACTTCATCCTAATAACCCATCATGTGGAGATGCTGAGACATTAGGCAACTCTGCAGTAAATGCCTCATGTAGTTGAGTCCTCTAAGGCACAAGGGAATGAGCAAACAGCACTGGGGTGGTTCCGGGCTGTCTTGTTTGCATTGAGGTCTGAGGTGGCAAAGGTGGCCTGGAAAGGCTGGACTCAAATCCAAGCTAAGCACACATTACTACTAGGGCTGTACAAGGCTTCAGACCATGCTTCGGATCCAGAGAAGCTTCAGAGCCTTCAGCATCTGAAGCAGCATGTCCAGATCAAAGTGCTGGCCTCATTAGGCTTCCCGAAGTGGTTCAGAGCTTCCAAAGCGCTTCGGAAAAGCTTAAAAGCCTACTCGGAGATCCGGCCATAGGGTATAATGGGGAATCAATGAAATATCTATAATGTTGTTGGTTTTTGTCTGATTTGGATGAAACTTGCAGGGATGGTAGCAGCTGCTGGAAGCATGAAGCCCGCCAAGTTTCAAGAATATCAGTGCAGGGGTTTGGGGGGAACTGCACCTCAAGCTGCTAACAGGTAAAACTTGTGACAGATAACTCTGTGTGTGTTAAGGTGCAGCGAGCTGGAAACTGCAGGGGTTGTGGCCCCTGCTCAGGCCACAAAGCCTGCCAGCTGTCAAGGAGATGGGTGCAGGGGGAATCTGGCTTCTAGGGCCCTGCACCTCTGGCTGCTGACAGGCAAAACTCATGACATGGGTGCTCATGCACCTGACTGTTTCTCTCTTGGGGCAGTTGATTGTCTGTATCGATTATTTCCTTTTCTTAGTCTGTGGTTTTGTATGTATTAATCATTTCTAATTAACTCATAATGACCTTAATTAGCAAGGATTAACACCTACAAACACAGCCAGCAGGCTTCGTGGCTGCAGCAGTGGCGACCATCCCTGCAGCTTTCACGCTGCTGCGCCTTAACACACGCAGTGTCACCCATGTCACGGATTTTGCTTGTCCACAGCTCGAGGTGCACTTCCTCCTAAACCCCTGCACCTATCTTCTTGATCTTCTTGAAACTTGGCAGGCTTTGTGGCCTCACCAGGAGCTACCATCCCTGCAGTTTTCACCCTCCTGTGGTGAAACACATACATGTGACATGAGTTTTTGCTTTCAAGAATTTGTGGTACAATTCCCCCCGAACCCCTGCACGGATCTTCTTGAAACTTGGCAAGCTTCATGCACTCAGCAGAGACTACCAACCCTGAAAATTTCATCCAAATCAGACAAAAAGTCAACAAAGATATAGCTATCTCATTCATTCCCCATTATACCCTACAGCCAGATCTCTGAGGCGGCTCCAAAGCCTAGGAGCCACTTTGGCCGGATCGAAGCAGGAACCTGGCCCAGAGCTCCAGATCAGATCCCTGGCATCTGAAGCAGCCAGATCCAAAGCTGGATTGAAGAGATGCCTACTTGCACAGGCCTAACCACTACCTATGTCCCATATGGTATTTCTTCACCCAGCATGCTGAGGAGTCTGACTGGAGTTCTGGAGGAGTTCCCAGTCTGAGGACTGACAAGGTGTCCTCTTGTCCCCACATTCCTGGTGAGCTCTAGCAGAGATCTTTAAACTTGCATAACATGGAGTCAGTGACATGATGAGATTTGAGGAGGAACTGGGGGAGGTCTCACGTTGATTTAGACCCAGCAGGTGGAACAGCTCAGAATTATGGCTGGGAGATAAATGGTTACTTATTCTGACAAAAACATGATGGTTTCAAACAGGATTCCATTCTGCATCTGGTCAAAATGGCAAGGTCATTCAAAATGTATCATGATATAAAGAAAGGAAATGAGACTGAAAGAGGTGGAGAAACTCCCCCCTGAAGTGGCAGCAACTTCAGCATTCCCATCAGACATGAGAGAGCAAGGACTTCTTATACCAGGGGTTCCCAAACTGTGGTATGAGTACCCCTGGGGGTATGCACAACATCCCTGGGGGGTGCATGGGAGAATTTGTGTAATGGCAGGTTTAATTTTTATTATAATAATAATTGGCATTTAATGTGTTAAAACATAAAATATATGCTGGTAAGGGTACGTGGGCAGCTGGTAAATCTGGAAGTGTGTATGCAATAAGAAAAAAGTTTGGGAACCTCTATCTTAAACTATTCTCATCTTGCTGCACAGAACACCTGGCAGTTTGGTGGTTTCAAGAGTGAGGTAGTGATGTGCAATGGTCAATTCACTTTTAGCACTTTTCCAGCATTTCTCCCTGACATTCCTCAGGCCTACTGCACACAGGTATGAGCAGAGACATGCTCCTCTGTCTGTGTCTTACCCTCCATCTTCCCTTGTGTTGCTGTGGCTATGTCAGTGCGTGTCAGTGGGTTTCACTGTCACATAGCAATTTTCCACCCTGCCCTCCAAGGAAAAATCCAGCTTCTCCATGCATATCCCAGGCTGCCTCCTCTTTGGTGGAACAAAGCTTCTTTAACTCACGTCAGGTCCACACAACTGACACTTGCCCCTGGAACACCTACCCCCTCACCCCCTCCCACCCAGCACAAATCAGCTAAACCCTGCCCACAGCAATGTGCTGTTACACAGTGACAGCCCTGGAGCCCTGGGGAAGAGACGCCAGCATGTGTCCCCAAGGCAGTGAGCAGTTGTCACTGTTAGGAACAGAATGAGGAGTGGTGTCTGTCAGGGACTGGTGGCTGTGTGTGTGTGCAGATGTGCCCAAGGGCAGTGGATCAAAGGACAAGTGTGACAGAGGGTGGGGTTTACAGTCACCTCACCCTGATGGATGGGAGCCAGTCCCCTCCCTTCCTCCCAGGACAGAAAGATTGACAGCCTCTCCCCTTTCCCAGCACAAACTACACAGGAAGCCCTTGCTGCTGCTCTAAGATGTGCTGCTCTTGCACAAAGTGCACAGGGCAGAGACTTGTTCCAGATGGGTGACAGAAAGGGGGTGGGGTTAGGAGATGCTGCACAGACCTGGGATATCAGTGAGAAATGGAGATGCAGTGACACATGAGTCTGTGAGACAAAGACACTTTACTGTAAGCAAAGCACTTTCCATAGATTGTAATGGACAGTAGTAACCAGTACCCATTGCTCTACCATGGGGTCAGTGAACCTAATTCCTTTGGCCTGTCAGGAAACCCAGGTCCTGAAGCCCCAGGGACTGGCCTGGATGAGATGATGGAATCCATGGGACACTTGTGGAGGACCATGGTGACAGTGGGGCCTCAATACCTGTTTGGGAGCTGAATTGTAAACATCCATGTTTAAACATATTGGCCATAAGCCTTTTACTTAATATTCTCAGGTCTTGCCCTCCAGCTCAGCACTGCTGGGGGCTGAAAGGATCTGTGGAAAGAGGCTCCATCTCTCTTCATCCTCCTTTCACCCTTCAAAGAGACACAACAGCAGCATCACTAGCAGCATGACCAGTCGCATCCTGAGCACCAATATTGCACTGGAGGATGGAGGAGAGGGACAGAGTCTGACTGGGATCCATCTGCTCTCTGTTCAGGGAGGGATTCTCCTTTTTGTACCCTATGTTCAGGGCTCATCAGGAATTCCCTTTGCCCCACTCAGGTTCTGCACAGCACATGGGATCAAGGTGCTGCCACCCAGAAGACCTGATCACTGCTACTGGCTCTGCAACAGTCATTTCCCCAGCCCTAAATGGGGAGGAAAGGGTAACAGTGAAGGGACCATGGCCGGCACCTGCAGGAGGACACCTGATAGTGAGCCACCCACCCACTTTCCAGTGACACTTGCAGCCTGGTGACACCCAATAGGCCATTTCAGGGTATGGACCTCCCCCTGAGAGCCCCAAAGAGACCACAAAGGCATGCACAACCATTCCTGAAAGACCACACCCATGGCATTAATCAAGCATAGTGAAATGCAAGTGGTGGGAGATGGTTTATTTTTAGAACCAAGGTGACATTTCCATAGCAGATAGAGGACATGGAGCATTCCCAGGGTAGTGGTGGAAACCCCAGACTTTAGGGATCCTGCTGTTGGGCAGGGCCAGAGCCTGACTTGTACACAACAGGGGGCAACTGTGCCTGGGCATGAGCAGTCATTGGGAGATAAAGGGTATCTGATTTCCATAGGCCTATGATGCCCTGCACAGCTGTACACACCATTAGATCCTGGAACTTCCTGTTTGCCTGAGGGGTTGGCAAGTTACCATGAAAGCCCATCAGCATCAAGAAAAGAAGATACAAGGATGTAATGAAGGCAGGAGCGTCCCCTCACTGCTTACAGATGCAGCTTGGCTGTGGGGGAGAGAGATTGCTGTCACCTAGCACAGGCATGAACTGGAAAAGATGACAGAAGAGGTGAGGTTTTCCATTGTCTATGTGGCTTCACAGCCAGTCCTAGATTAGCAGTTGCACTGCCCCTGGATGAAGTTTAGGATAATGCTGTCCTCCCTGCAAACAGCAGCACAGTATCCAGGGATTTCTGCTGTTGGATCCATTTCCATTCCCAAGCTCCACGCTCCTCTTTCAGGTGCAGTGATCTCCTTGGCCAGCCCCTACCGCGCCATTTGTCTGGTGGGTCAATCAAGTTTATTTTTTTCCTTGTGCTTTCTTCTTCTTCTCACAAATGCAGAAACGAGTTTCTCCACAGCCTCCAGGTTTCACTTTATCACCTTGCAAATATGCACAAGCTCCACCATCGTAATTATGAGGACTGGGGTCTGAGAGCACAAACCTGGAAGGCAAAACCACAAGCTACAGTCAGGTCTATTCTTCTGACCTCCTGTGTCAGAACACAGAGCTAAGAGTTCTCCCTGATTTATAGCAGTGACCTCAGGGGATGTTCAAGCCATGGCAACAGGAAAGTTGGAGATGCTTTGTAGCTCAAGCCTGTAATTGGTTGGATGGCAAACAGCTAGCACAAGACCCCTTCACTCTCATGGCACATTTATAAGACAGGGTGGGATCCAGTTTGATTCCTCAACCCACTTCATGTGAGAACAACTTCAGTGCTCCAGAAATTGCTCCTGGAATCAAATTTGCTAAATCGTTTCTTTCCTCCCTATCCTGTGCCTGCATGCTGACCCAGAGAGATCTCTATTCCCAAAGTGGGTGAGAGAAGAGGCACCGGTTTCCCATACAACTCACAGATCACATAAGCTCAGGTGGTGTCCATGCGATAGATTCATGTACAATATGACTCTTCAACATGTCATGCACCTGTGATGCAGCAAACTTCCCTGTTCCCACTAACCCACCACCCACATCTATGATCTAACACTACCATCTCAAGAGCCATATTAAATGGCTACCCTGTATTATGGTATACTGGTCTGCAAGAGACATGGGAAATTGCAATAAAGTGGACAGTTTTCAGGAAAGAAAAGCTGTTTGAGGGCAGTGACGAAGTGTTATGATGCTATTCCAGCCCTGCTGGACATGGTCACTAGTCACAACCAGGGTGTGGGGAGCCTGTACAGAGGCAGTGGCATTTGGGGGTCTTTGAGATACAACACTGAACTAGTGGCACCAGCCCGCCACTGCCATCTGATAGTGCCAGACCCTCAAGGTTCCAGGGGGAATTACATGCAGGTGCAAGTGCTGCACTTTAGCACAGAGCTGAGGAGAGGTACACGACTGGTGCCTTCAGCTGCTCTGCCATGGACTGCCACTGCTGTTGCTGCCTTCTCCAACCCCTCCACACCATCAGGCAGCCTGTGTGCCCGCTTCCATGCCCCCGCCATATTAGGAGAAGTGGTATTTTCTGCAGTTAAGAGGGCAGGCAGATATTTTGCAGAACGGGTCATCCCCTTCCTCCCTCCAATGCTGCTGGGGCCAGCAGAAGGTGCCACATGACACAGGGGTGATCCCTGGTATGTAAGATCTTGCAGATCTACTCCCTGAGGTACATACCAGGGGTCAGCAGGGGGCAGACAGTGGTAAAGAGATGAACAGGTCATTTTTTTTAAACAGTTCCTCTCAGCACTTGTGTGATTTACTTTGGCAGGGGAATGGCATCTGTTATATGTTTTGAATCTGAGCCTTATACACAAAATGTACATACATACAGACAGACACATACATACATCTTATTGGGTGTCAGAGTGAAGTGTGCTGCCAATTTTAATTTAGAAAAAATAGGTGCTCCAGGTGTCAAAGGTTTGGGAACCACTGCCCTAGTGACACAGACTTACAGGCCAGAGGAGAGAGCTGAATCATCCGTCCAGACCCACATCCTCTTTTTGGAGTCAAACGACAATCCAATCCAGAACGGGTAGTAGTATGCACTGCTTCCACGATCTTCAGCATATTCAAAAGACCTTGCAGTTATGAAGCCCTGCAATGCAATAAGATCAGATGGAATGGAAGTGAGCTCTCTCAGCCACGTGGAGAGCACCAGCAAAGTGCTATGGTATTACCAGAAGCCCTAGTGCAGAGATCCTTCCCTTGAAGAAAACTAGGTAGCCTACACCTGCATAAGAGCCAATGCCAGTCTAACCAGGTGAGTTCTCAAACATACTTCAGGTAACACTGTAAGATCAGACACATGGCTAAGCCTATGCACACAGTAGTCTGGAAATACAATAGAACTCATGTGTGCATATATATCAACCCTCTATCCATGCCATCCCCCCACACCTCCAGCCCAGAAACTGTGAAGCTGTGCCAGAAAGTGCAGCCCTAGAGCCTGGCTCCTTCCTGGCTTCATTCAAATGGTCACATTGTACTGATATATTACAAGAAATGCACACACCTGCTCTTCTTTACTCTCTATCATGAGCAGCAAGGCAGATTGAGAAATGCAGGAGGAATTACACTGCTCCCAAGTTCCTTTTTCAGGAGAAAACAGGTAGGACCTGTCCTGGCGGGCAGTCCACAGCCCTGGACACTTCTCCCCTGGAACAAAAACAGACCATGTATCAGCTCATCACGTTCCCCCATTTCTGTGTTCCTCTACCTTCACTGCTTGTGTCTCATGGGCCCTATAGTGTGTGTGTGGGGAGGAGAGGGTGGCAGCTTCTGCCACATACACCTGAAGGGGGATGGGTCTTCTCCTCCCAGAGTAGCTGCTTCAATGTAGACAATGGCAGGGACTTGCTTCCACAGCTGTCTGGTTGAGGCATGGTCCCGACAGCCTCTGCCATTTTAGCTGAGGCCAGACCAACATCTTGAGCCCCACCTGAGTTGAGGACCTGAGGCTTATTCCAGGAGGTCATGGTGGTGAAGAGGCAGGAGCACTAGGCCCTGTCCAACAGCTGCAAGTCATGGAACAGGATGGGGACAGTAATGAACCCTGGAGGAAAGATTTGGTTTTCCCTCCCCTGACAGGTCCTGAGAGTTCGGAAGATTTCCCATCTAGAAGTCTGAGGAACAGGCACAATTCTGAAAAAAAAATCATTACAGCAAAAGGACCTGCCCTTGTTTGTAATCCACTGTGCTGGACACTTCCCCCTCTGGAGCAAGTACACATCACTGATCAGCTCACCCCATTCCCCATCACTCTCATTCTGGGGATACCACAGTCAGAAAGAAAGAGGATGGGTGTTTTTCCTCAAAGGCTGGCAGCTGTGACTATGCAGAAAAGAAGAGTTGCTGGCTTCCCAGGCTACATGGGAGTGATAGGCCAGACAGTCACTGCCACCTTCTTTGAGGCCAAACCAACCTCCTGAGCCCCAGTTGGGTCAAGGAATAAGGGTTTGTTCCCAGCAGGGGGAGGTGAGCAAGAAGCAAGGCCACCCAGACTCATTGTGACAGAGGCAAGTCCCAGAACCAGACATGGGCAGTAATGACTACTGGAGGAAATGTTTTTTTCTACACCACTGAAAAGTTTTGAGAGGTCCAAAGTTTCCCATGTCCTGACTTCAGATGAAAGGCAAAATCCTGATTTCTTTTATGAGCTCCCAAAACCAACTCTTTTGTGTTTGGGTTACTCGATCTTTTCTGTGTGTGAACATGTTTTCACACTTTGCATCTGTTTTCCTCAGCATCTTAAATGAACCTCATACCAGGGAACCAAAATCATTTACTTTCCAAAGATTTTCACTCCCTGCCAGGCAGGGGATGGGGAAGAAAGCAGAGTGCTTTTTGATGGGAGGTATGGGGAGGGAGGATCTCCCCATTCTCCAGAACTCCCAACAAACAGGACCTCATGACAGCGTTTCCAAAGATATCCCTCAGCCAAAGCCAATACATCTCTGGGAGAGGGAAATACACTGTAGTTCCAGGACAGCCTCACGTATGTGACTGGACCTGCCCTGTGGAGACACCAGGTTCCAGCCTACAATTTACCTGTGTCCTTGGGCTTCTCCATTGTAGTTACAGGCAGGATAGGTGTTTGGCAGGACATCAGCTCAGAGGTGAGATGCTCCACTTGCTTCACAAGGCTGTCCTGCTCTCTGCCCAGCTGAACCTCTTAAACATCAGAACAGCACATCAGTGCCTGTACATAGAGGCTGTAGTGAAGTTTCACAGACCTGATCTCTTTTGTTGTGACCCAACCCCCCCTGTTGCATCAATAGGTTTTGAAGTTACAGCTGCTGGGCATTTTCTGGTGGAACACTTTTACTTATTGCAAAAAAATATTTATCAGAATTGAGCCCCTGTGCAGAAGCAGCTGTTTCAACAATACGTGCCATGGAACTGGGTCAGATTTGCAATGGAAACTGGCATGGCTCTCCCTGCCAGTTCGCTGCCCATAGGGTGGGGGCAGGGAGAGAGGGGAATTCCCCCGTGGCCCATCTTGCTGCCCGGGGTGGGGTGGTCCCCCATGGCAGGTCACTGCAGCCACTTCCAGGAGTGGCTGTGGCTGCTTCTGGGAGTAGCTGGAGTGATCAGCCGGCACTTGCAGGAGGGGTACCAGCGCTCCCGCCTGCCCCCTCTGACCAATGCCTAAGTGGTGAGCATGGCTCATCAGAGAGTGCACTGGTGCAGTGGTGCTCTCAGGGGGTGCATGTGTACCCCTGTGCACCCCCTACATGTTGCCACTGATCACCTGCCCACTCACCTCCCTGTTATCTGCAAGGAGCTTAAGGAAAGGCTCAGGCTCCCCAGCTCCTAGCACGTCCACCTGGAGGGAGGCAAAGGAGTCGGGGTTCCATGATGGCTTCCTTGCATGTCAGCCTTGGAGCTGGGCCTCCAGTGGCTTCCAAGCCCCCAAACAGAAAGCTGGGGATTGCATTTTGGCAAGAAATATCCAGGTTAAGTCTCTGTGCTCCCATCTGGGGTTAACAACGCTTACTATTTGTAATTTATTTATTTTTTTTGCGGAACTGAAATCCAGGCTCAACCTAACTGAAATCCTAGCTCAACCTACCTTAGCTGACAGACACTTCCTGAGTGATCACAGAGCAAAATGTCCAGAGTACCTGTCCCAACTAGCACATATCTGCTGAGATCATCTCCACACAGCTCCAAGGAGCTTTCAGATCATCATGCCTGACCACTGCAGAGGTCTACACCACAGCACAAGCTCATATTTCCAAACCAGTGCTCACTTAAGGAAGCAACCCACAGGTGGTGATGTGCCAGACTGACATTCTGCTTAACAAAAAAATATGACTAAAATTGTATTTTCAGGGCACAGAACAGCACAGATTTGTCCATGAGTAACAGCACTTTGAATGTATGAAAACATTTTCTATTTTCTAAACAGTCTTCAGGCCTGCAGGCCAATTCTCTACTGTGTTGATGAACCTAGCTGTAGGGAGTTCACTAGAGCTAGGCCCATTCACACTAATCTGAGGGTCTAGCGCAGAATTATCCATGTGTGCAGAAGCTCTAGTATCTTATAACAGAAATAGCCAGGTGTACAGGAGACAACACACATTGCATATAATCAACTAAAGGGGCTGAAGCAACCAGCAGCGAAAACCATAATGGAACTGTGACTTCAGTGTTTTTCAGACAAAAGCGTCATTGTCACTATCAAGCATGACCCAGCACAGGCTGCAATGGTAATGGAACTTAAACACTGCATCAAGCAGTTCCCATGAAGCTACTGGGCTTTGGATTTAAGAAGATACCATCAGTTGTGGGAGAGTCTCCACCTGAGGTGTGAGGGGATTTTTGTGCTCTGGGCCCAATGAAGTGACTTCCACATCAGAGTCGTCCCCCCACTCCCTCCTCCCCTCTCCCCCCAAAAAACAAACCAAAAAACCCCCCCAAAAATGGGCCAACATGTTTAGGACAGACCTTGAAGTCCATTTTCTCTGCAGCTGCCCTCTCACACCCCTGGATACACCTCAGGTACATCAATTATCTTTTCACAATATGGACATATTGGGAATCATTTCTACAGATGGTCTCTGTATTGTGGTGACACAAAGCCCCAGTAAGAGTGACACAATTTATGGTTAGAACAGTTAGAAACTTCCTAAGGGAAAATTTTTTCCATTGAAAAAAAAAAAGTTGAGTTCTCACAAGTGAACACAAACCGTTCCATTGGGACTAAACTTCTCATGGACGACAGAGAAGTTTGCAATGGAAACCCCCCAGGTGCCCTTCCAGCTCACCATCCCACCTGCTTCTCAGGCGCTTCATATGGAGAACCTGCAAATATGGAGGCCTAAGGGGTGGCCAACCTGGTGGAAATAGTGCAATCATGCCTGTAAAGGCTTCCAGGCTCTTCCATGGCATCTTTAGGGGCTTGCCACGTACCCAGGGCTCCCAGATCTTCCAAGCATTAAAATGAGATGCTGACAAATTTCATTTCTGTAAGAAATATCCAGGTCTGGGCTTTTCTTCCCCTGATTTGGTTTGAAAATACTTCCAATACCACAGTTCCAAACACACAGTCTTTTTGTGCAGGAGTGAAATTCAATCCCTAGCAAGCTCCAGTAGCCTAAAAACAAAATCACCAGGTGTCCAGGAGACCACATACATTGCACAGTGGATGGATGCCCCAATGGTCTGACAGGCCAGAACTGAACTGATTCAATTTTGCTGACCTCGTGAAGGAACATCTTGACAAGCTGGATACCTTCAAGTCAGCCGGCCCTGACAATCTTCACCCCAGGGTACTTAAGGAGCTGGCAAGCATCATAGCCCAGCCTCTAGCATGGATCTTTGAAAACTCTTGGCACTCTGGTGTAGTGCCCGAAGACTGGAAGAAGGCCAATGTGGTGCCTATCTTCAAGAAAGGGAGGAAAGTGGATCCGGCTAACTACAGGCCCATCAGCCTGACTTCTATCCCGGGGAAGATCTTAGAAAAGTTTATTAAAGAGGCCATCCTTAATGGACTGGCCGACG